GAGAGAGAGAGAGAGAGAGAGAGAGAGAGAGAGAGAGAGGGAGAGGCAGAGAGAGCACAGATACACACACAGGCAAGATACACAGAGGCGGACACCAGAGTCGAAACAAGGTTTTCGCGGCGAGCACAGGACAAGACATGACACACACGCCACTAAAACGCCGGCAGGATCTAGAGTGGGAAAGAAAGAAGACAAGTGACTGCCACGCAAATAATCGCGACCTTCCTGTGGAGGAACGAGCCCCCCCCCCTCCCCGGTGTTTGCCATCGGGGTTGGGTTTTCGTCGCTTGGCAACGACGTTGTAAAACAAGCCCATTCACTTCGTGAACTCGGCAACCAGGGTAAGGTTTTTTTTTTACCTCTGGTATTTTTTTGGCGGTAACCATAATGGTGGCCGAGTAGATCATGTTGTGCGGTGTGGAGAACCCTCACTCCGCGCAAGGGGGATGATCGCACCACGTTGTGTTAAAATGGTCAAGCATCCTCGAGGCAGCTACACAGTGCTTACAACTGTCTCTGGAAGTGAAACAGCAGAAAATATATCAAGTCATACGCAGCTGTCATCCGTACGCAAGGAAGTAAGCACAAGATGCCGAACACCCTTAGCAGGATGCAGCGCACCCTTCATGCGACTCGCCGAATACCTCACGGTGCTTCGCGCTTGGTGACGTGAGAGTCTGGTCCGGTGAGAACCCGGCGTGCTCGGTCCCGGGTTTGTAGGGATGCGAGGTCAATGGTCTACCGACTACGGCATGCACGACTATGAGTACACCCGCCCCCCCCCNGTCGAAAGCGAAAATAGTCGCCGTGGCAGGCGTTTCTCCCTCCGGGATCTCGTCCGGAGTTTCCTGGCGAACGGTTGTAAGGAAGATGGTGGGGTAAAACACTCAAGGGGGGGGGTTGAAGCAAGTTCGATACCATCAACGCTTTGCGGGTAGAAATCTCCCAATGCATGTACCCTCTGCTTCTTCCCAGGCACTTCTAATCTTTCGCTTGTGGAATGGGTGCGTACACACGAGGGCGTGTTCTTTGCCCTATACTGCAGCCGGCTTTCGAGAGTCATCGCACTAACGTGCGAACGAAAACTGCGCACAACAAGACAACCACAATCGAGAGTGCCACAGAAACAACATCAAGAGCATCGGGAATAACAACAATAGGGCCAACAAGAGCAACCAACAAGCAGCAAAAGCAACAACCGACCTGCAATCGAACCATCTGCTTGTCGGTGAAGAGGCAGCGGTTGTGCACCAGCTCCATGGACATGGTGTTCCCGCACATGTGGCAGGACGAGGGCTCGTCGATGCGGCCCCGGTCGATCATCACCTGCATCAACCACAGCAGTAGTCATCACCATCGGAACCATTTTTATACCGTTTCCATCCTCAAAAGGAACGCGCCAAGTGGGTATAAAGCGACGGGATACTGCTGCTGCTGCTGCTGCTGCTGCTGCTGCTGTGTTATTCAGGCAAGGCACCAGACCAAGTGCGAGAGATGACGCTTACGGCGCGGCGGTTTCTGCCCTAAAGATAACACTCCGGGCAACGCTTCCGGGGCGGCACCGACGATGGACACATGATATAATAGCTTGGGAGAAGGGAGGATACGAGAACGAGACGCCCAAGCCCGCATGACACACGGGAAACTCCTGTCACTCCTCGGCACCTCACCGAAAAAAAAATCCAACCAGATTGACCCCATCGACGGCAGCACCAAACAGGGAACAAGCTGGAAGAGTCGGCCACGTAGCGTGGCCATCCGTGTGCCTACGGGGGACTACGGTGTGTAGTTATTCTATTGTACAACAGAGCCAGAAGCGAGGCAAGCGGCGAAGATATACCAGTCAAAGGAGCAACAGCAGTATGACCGCAGGAGTGCAATGGCTACAAGGTCTTCTTCATGTGGAGCACCAGTCCACCAGAGAGCAAGAAGGAGTGACAGCGGTACCGTTGCTCCCGCGGTTTTTCCCAAGCACAACGGTACGATCAGCATCGAGCAAGATTTCCAACTCGTAATGCGGCTCGCTCCTGCTTCATTGTATCATACCCCACGGTAGATGCGCGTATCGAATATCGACAGGTACAGCTATAACCCACCTCTTTCGAAGCGTTGCAAACGATGCAGCGGAAGAATGCCTGCTTGAGATCTGGAATGATCTGGCTCGTTCGGATCACCATCCCCCGGAGGGCCACCATCTGGTCGATGTGCTGCGGGTCCAGGTTCCTCAAAGGCTTTACCTCCCGCAAGTTGTACGTGCGGACCTGCACCCCGTTCCACACATACACACGGTGTGGGTGTGGTTGGTTGCGAAAAAAACTCACGAACGTGCATTTTCTGCAGGTCCAGGGGATGCGCACGTTGTTTGGAGAATGGGGATGGAACGGTGGGTGGTGGCGGTGGGGAGTCTTTGGGAATAAAAGCACTTTCCGCGTGGAAAGGACGTCAGGTGCGGGCCCCTGCCTGCCTCCAAACGTTTTTTTTTTTTTCTCCCATCACTGGACTCTGTCGTTTGCCCCTCTGGCCTCTATCCTCCACTTCTACTAGCTAGACGACCCAACCGGGGTCACATAGGAGGGGGGGGCTGGAACCCCTCCTGCGGTTCCTGCCTGAGGTATTTTTATCGCGAGAAGGGTACAGCAATCCCTTCCCTCGCGACTTACGAAGTCGATTATGGTTTACTAACAACGAGCTTTGCAACGCATCGCTTTCATCCTAGACCAGGATATATAAAGTGAGAAAAAAAACTCACTCTGCCGGGACTCGAGCCCATGACCTGGCCCTTAGTAAGCTGGGAGGCTACCCATTAGACCATCGGGGCGACCGGTGGTATATAGCCGGATGGTTGCAAGCATACTTTTTTCAATCCCCGTAGCCGCTGTACACCGGCGGGAGTCTCCTTCCCTGAGCTATCCACACCTAGTCTCGCCCTACGTACAGCGTGGGAGTCACAGCCCTTACCCCCCCCCCCCCCCCC